CCCGGTGTTGTTCTTCAATAAGACGACTTGAATGATCATCATGGTAATCTAAATTATTCAAATTAAATTAAATCAAATTAAATTAAATTAATTTGAAATTATTACCTTGTTCATCAGTATCTTTTGTATGTAATGTTTTATTTTCAAGTTTATGTGAGAAAAGATCTTTATTAACTTCATTCTTTTTATTTTAAAAAAACAAAAAAAAAAGTGTTTTTTTTTCAAATAAAATAAGAAATCTATACTACTTTTTGTATTTCCGTGGTTTTTCGCACTTCACCTGCTAAAAAAAGAAGATTATTTCTAAAGAAACAAAAACGATAATCTAACCTTCATGTGGTGCTTTCCATTCTTCAATTGCTTTAATACGTGATTCCAATTCTTGAATTTTTTCATCATATTCTTCACGATATTTAGTTATTTTATCAGAATGTGTTGTATGATTTTGAATTATATCAATTTGTTCAATCTAAATTTTAAAATTTTTAGTCTTGTTTTCAAGGAAATTTATAATTAATCTATACTTCTTTTTTATCAGATGATTGAACTGTTAGTGCTTTTCGTACAGATATTGATGATATAGTTGATAAAAAAAGATTTTCATTAGTTAATGTAGTTGATATTCGAGAACAGTTTTCATGTTTGCTCATTTCAGGTTGATTATCTGAACAAAAACAATTTTCTTTTATACGATTATATTTTAAATCTAACCATTACTCGACATATTCGCTATTCTCTTATAGAATATATCACAGTTACACCTTGTGTTTAGATGTTACGCTTTTTTTCTCGCTCTCTCTCTTCTTCTTCTTCTTCTCTTCTTTCTTTCTCTTCACGTTTATGTTTATGTAGGATATTGCATCATCCGTCCAGAACTATGACAAAAGTCTTTATTGCGCAGTTGGAAAGAAAAATAATCTTTTCTTTTGGCCAAATATAGTAGAATATTTCTATGTAACTAATCTTTCATAACTTAGAAACCTAATTACAAATGATCGCTATCGGTTTCTTGCATATTTTCTGTGTGTGATTTTCTTACTTTATCATCAACTGGTTCAATCTGAACTATTTATTGATGACTATGAAAACGATGAATTGGTTTTACAATTGGATTTGTTAATTGATTCTATATAAATATCAATGAATTATCAATTAAACAAAAATGAATAATATTTGTTTGATGAAAACTTGCTGTAATCGATACTACATTTGATTTTTCATCTAATAATATGTTTTTTTGATTGGCTTAAATTATGAAAGATAATGATATTCTACATGATGTTGACTAAAACAGAAAAAGCAAAAACAATCAATTAAAATATTTTCTACATTAAATTTTTTTACTTTGTCGTTAAATAGTAAAGATGTGAAGGCGATTAATTAGAATTGATGTTTCATAATTGGTGCTTCATTTGATTCTTTCTCCGAAGATATTTATTCTACACTAATTTTACGTGTAATAAGTATTGGAATTGGATATGATATTGACTAAAAGAAAGAGAAAACGATCGATTAAGAAATATAAAACATGAAATTCTGTTACTTTTCCATCAGCTGATTCAGTTTGAACTATTTATTGATGATTACGGAAAGAATGAATAATTTAAAAAAAAAGTATGTATTGGTCAATTTGATGTCATTCATGATCGATCATTAAATACAATAGAATGAACAATATTCGAATGATGAAGATTTGTTAGAATTGATGTTTGATTGAATTGTATATATGAAAATAACATTTCTTCACTAACTTTACCTATGGTAAATGATAGAATTACAACACGATAGTGACTAAAAGAAAGAAAAAACAATTAACTAAAATACTTCCTATGTAGAATTTTATTACTTTGTCATTAGTTGGTTCAATTTTAATCATTTATTGATCATCAGAGAAATTAGGAGCTGATATTCAAATAGTATTTGTTGATGAATTTGATGTTATTCGTGCGTGATCGATTATTAAATGCAAAAAAAAAGGAGTAAAGAATATTTGAACCGCAAAGATTTTTTGGAATTGGTAATTCATTTGGTGTTACATCTAAACAAAATTTCTTTACATTGATTTTGTGTATGAGAAATGATGAAATTTATCACGATCTTGACTAAATAAAAGAGAAAAATGATGAATTAAATATTTTCTATGTAAAATTCTGTTACTTTTTCATCAACTGGTTTAATCTGAGCTATTTTTTGATCATAATGGGACGATAAACTGACGTGAAAATAATATTTGCTGATAAATTCGATGTCATTGGTGATCGATCACTAAATGCAGAAGAATAAAAAAATATTTAAACGACGTAGATTTGTTAGAAATGGTACTTTATGTAATTTTTCATTTGAAAATTTTTTTGTCGTTGAATGAATGTGTGATGGTGACAGATGATGAAATTCGAGATGATGTTGACTAAATGGGAGAGACAATAATTAATTAAAATAGTTTTTATATGAAACTGTCTTACTATGTCATTGAATGGTTGAGTCAGATGTATGTATTAATGATTTTAAACAGAATGAATTGTTTTCAATATCCGATTCGTTGATGAATATGATGACAACATCATTCGGCTTTATTTATCAAGAAATCGATGGCATTTATAATCTATAAAACAAAATTAATTATTCAAATGTCAAGCCGTGTTTTTTCAATCTATGAAATATCATATGAACTTGAGATTTTTTTTGCCTGCAAGAATGTAGTCGGAAGAATAAAATTCTCTTTAAAATAATTTTATTTCTTCAGTTTTGAGAATAGAAATACTGTTAATGTTTATTTACGTTTATCTGAAAAACAAATATGCGAAAAAATGATAAAAGACAGAAAATTAATAATTGATTAATCGATTGAATTTTAAAAAAGTATTTCAGGGGACGTGCTTTCAGCCATTAAATGATTCTTCATTTTTTCCACTTTCCACTTTGATTTTGACCATAAGTTTTAAGATATCAATTAAAAAAGGCGCCATCTAAACAGAAAACAATATATTGTTGGAATAATATGCTATGTAATAATAATAGTAATGTTAGCTTTATTTTCATCGTTCTCTGTAATGATCAATAAAATATTTCAACAACTTTTTATTGTATCATGAAGCTATTAAACATAATATATTGATGAAATTTATTTAATCCTTTTAAACAATAGTCAATAAATAATATGAAAGAAAAATTCTTAGTTAATTTGTTTTAGATTTTTTTGTATTTTAGACATTTCGTTATGTTTCATCAAATATTTGATAGATTGATAAAGTTATAATCAGCGAATAAATTTATTTAATTATATAGTATGTCGAGAGAATCTTTCATTAAAATGTGAATATTAATAACATGTGATCGAAGATTGATTAAGCAAAATTAATTGTATTAGAAAAATTATTTCAAACAAATATTGAAGAAATTTATTTTCAAAAATATTTTATTGATAATCAATCAAAATGTGCTTTAATTAAAATAATCAAAACAAATTTACTTAGTTAATTAATTAAGGTAGTTTAAAGAAAAAAAAGAAATTCTTGTGAAATAAAACCTTTATTTTTATAGAAAAATATTTTTTAATGAATTAGAATTATTATCATATTTAAATCACCGAAATATTTCATATTTATATAGTTTTCAACTTGATTTACTTTATTTTATTCAAGAATACTCACATATTCGAACATGAAAAGATTATTTTCATCGAATATCAATTGAACAAACAAATGATTCAATCTTTCAAACATTTAAATTATTAATATTTATTTTAATTAATCGATTTTTTCGTTTTTATTTATTTTAGGATAAATTGTGGGGGGGGGGGGCGGAAGGGTGAGGGTGACGGTTATGCCTAAAGTGAACAAGTTCCAAATCAATGGTAGTCTGTTAGTGAATGATAAGTTTAATAATTTGTATGTAGATTTCTGTTCTATACTGTAGTTCGTATATTGTATCTTATTCAAAAAAAAGATACTATGTATTACAAGGGTCTACGAAAATTGCTCGAAGAGAAAGTTGATCGAAAATTTTGTTATAAAAGAACAAAAGCTTTTTCGTAATCAGAAGCTCTAACATTTAAGTGCAAAAGCAAAATTTACACTAATTATATTAATGAACGAAGGAACCCTCATTGTTAGCTCGTTTCGACAAGCTTATCTTATTTTATTTCAAAAGAAGTGTGTGTATAAAAAATGTCCCTAACAACACGTACATATACATTGCGCAATACAAGAGAGAAAGAGAAGAGAGAGAAGGAAAGGAAAGAAGGAGAGATAACAATAGCAACAATGGAGGATAAAGGAGAGAGATGGAAAAACATCAAGGGATAGGAATGAGAGTGAGTCATCGCTAACACTCGTATTCGAGGGATCTAATGAGTTAGACAAATAAGTTAGATAAATACAAAAAAGCAATAGCAGTTTAGAAACAATGAGTAAGTTCCTTTAAGTCCTGTAGTAGGGTTGCCTGCTTCGAGAATGTGCCTACAACCTTATCCTCACCCTCACACTCAGTCTCACCTACAAGGCAGACAACCATACTACAACAATTAAAGCATTTACTCATAGTTACCAAACTGCTATTGCTTTTTTGTATTTCTCTAACGTATTTGTCTAACTCATTAGATCCCTCGAATATGAGTATTCTTTTTTTTTGATTAATATAACTAGTGTAAATTTTGCTTTTACACTTAAGTGTTAGAGCTTCTGATTACGAAAAAGCTTTTGTTCTTTTATAACAAAATTTTCGACCAACTTTCTCTTCGATCAATTTTCGCTTTCCCGTATTACAAACATCAGACTCGATGATAAACATTGTCGAAAAAGAAAATTGACCTGACGGATGTATCGCCAATGAATAAAAACAAATGGTCGACAAAAAGAAAAATGGCGTAGTCTATTCATTATAACCTAATATGAAAAAATAAATGTTTCTTTCATTATTCTCCCAGACGACAATAAGAATATATAGAGATATATAGATATATATAAATTAAAACAAATAAACTGTACGCATTAGACATAAACATGTCAAATAACAGTCGTCTCAATATATTGGATTTACCTAATGAAATTTTACTGATTATTATCAATAAACTCAATATGGTTGATGTTCTTTATTCACTTGCGGATATTAATGAACGATTTAATCGATTGATATTCGATCCTCTTTATATCTATAATCTTGATATGACAATCATAACTACCAAATTAATGTTTCGTCATAGTTTGTCAATAGACAATCAAATTCTTGATAGAATTTGTGAGAATGTTTTACCTCGAATTCATCATCACGTAAATAAACTTACTCTTGAACCAAATTCAATGGAACGTGTTCTTTATTCTTCCAATTATTCTCAACTTTATTCATTATCTCTTGTTGATTTTCAAGAAGAAATGCTTCTTCAATATTTAACAGGTATTCAAATAATCAGATTATTAGATATAAATTAGCAATTTTACTTTTGAATAGAAGGTGATACAATTCTTCGTAATCTTCTTGCTGAACAAATTACTGATCTTACCATTGATATTTATGTTAAATTAATATCACCACCATTATCTAAAACTCTATCGAATCTATTTGCTTCGATTTTATCCTTATGTAAACGTTTGAACCATTTAAACTTTTGTCAATTGTCCAACTATAGAAGTTTATCCATTGAGATTTATAAGTTATCATTAACAAGTTGTATGTCTTCAACTTTAAGAACATTGATTATTAATGTTGAAACTTTTAATGATTGTCTTTATCTTCTTGATGGACGTCTCCAGTGTTTATCGACATTGATTATTCATGTTGAAGATATTTCAATTGCATCATCAACTATAGATAATACAGTTAGTATAATTTTTATTTTTTATTTTTTGAAGACGATAGTTAATTAAATGCACAGACATACCAAATTTTATTCTCTTTATAGAAAAAACTTCTCAAATTAAAACATTTTTCATTAATCTCGTTTAATCGCACAGAGAAATATGATAATTTTGTTGTTCCATTACTTCATCGAATGATAAATCTTGAAGAATTGAAATTATATTTGTCAATATTAAGAATTAACTCGACTTATGTTAATGGTGTTCAATTATATGATGATATTCTTATTTATATGCCACGATTAAAGAAATTTTATTTCTGTATAGAAGCATCTGTGTACAACAAAGATATTAGAATCGATCTTCCGTCTAATGAAGATATTCAAAATAGTTTCATGCGAAGAGAATATGGCCCAATTGGTTCATATATTCAACCTATTCTAATAGAAAGAGGAATAAGTAGATGTCATATCTATTCACTTCCATATCAATTCGAACATTTTTTTTATCTAAACAATTATTTTAAAAGTGGCATATTTGATAAAGTTCAATACTTAATGATGATGGAGTTACATCCTTTCGAACATAACTTCTTCAAAATTATCTCTGAAGATTTTTGTTTTTTGAAAGAGTTACATATAATCAATAATAAATCACAAAAAGAGAAGCAACAATCATCAACATTGATTATATTTCGTCATCTTGCTATTCTGGATCTGATTGATGCTCATATAGATTATGCTGAACAATTCCTCTTCGATAAGAACACTCATTTACCTCGTTTGCGGTATCTTAGGATTCTATATGAATCACTCAGAATGGTTACTAATAATTTTACTAATGATGAAGCACGTCTAACTTGTGGTAAAGTGAAATATCTTGAAATACATGAACCATTTGTTCGTCCAAAAAATTTTCACGAATATTTTCCTTTATTGTAAATATTAATCTTGTTAAAAATTCTTTCAATAAAAGCAAATTGTAGGAAAAAGTTAAATATACGTCAATCATGCTGACTAATTAGATTAAACTAGATTTAACAAAAAGGAAAATAAGCTATGCATCGATGAAGAAGAATTTTATTGTTACTTATCTGTAGTTTAAAGAATAAGCATAACATACATCAATGAAACATCTTAACGTGAAGGTGAACATGATTTAATCAAAATAATTATATAAAATTCATGACACCCTCAAGTAAAAAAAACAAGTTATGAAATATTTATCATAAATCTAAATAGTATGGGGAGTAGGCATCCGACACTTTTCTTGTTCTGATCCCGGTAGGGGATGTAACGAGACTGAACTCCTCGGTCTCAGTCAATCTCGCGTTAATAGTTCCAATATGTTAAACTGTTAAAACGTCTTTAACACGAATGAAAGTCTTATATGAACTGAATAAAATAATCTTGTAATATATTTCGTAATATCAACACATGAGATTATCACAAGACATCTCGAATACTTATTACTACGATTTTAAATGAATGTTCCAGTTTTAGTGTAAATTATTCAAATAATACAACACTATCAGCTTTTCCACCTTGCAGTTTTGTTAAAGTCTTTGCAATCGTGTAGGAGACCTTCAGAAAGATTTTGTGACAGATGAACATAATACTACGGTCTGGAAAGTAGAATTAAATTTTAAACAAAAACGCCTAACCATTAGAAGTAGATAGCTCTTAGGAAGCTATAACAACTCTCCACAGTCATATTCTAAAAAATTTTAAGAACCAACTTCAAATAGTGCCTGAAAAATTGTAGGAACTATCTGGAAATCAGCTGATCATAGTTGAGCTACAATATTTTCACTGAAAAAAAGACGAACTGGTTACTAATCAAATGCTATTTATTAAATGAACAAATATTATTTTAGTTGATTAAACTGAATTAACTACTGATGTTTTTATTTTAATACGGAACAAAGTATTAGTTTACTACTCATTCACAAAAAAAATATTGACCATTTAATGAAAATACAAAAATATGCCGAAAAAACTTTCTATCGAAAATAATTTTTTGAACTTTCAAAAATGATTTCATTACTTTCGAACGAAAACTGCGGCACAATATACCAAAGACATTCTTATTTATACGAGCTTAACTCTTCATTCGCTTGTTCTCTAATGACGAATGAAGATACAAAATCTTTAGATCCAATATTCGACATACACATGACACTGATTTGTCTGAAACTGAAGTACAATAAAAAAAAAAACTCAGCTCTTTATTCATACAATCATCCATCACAATAACATTTTCAATATAGTTTCGTCTTATCATGAATACATTAATTGATGTTTGGAATATTAATATGTCATTAACATATTTTAATTTGTATTGCAGACGAACAAATGCGATGTACTTTTGAAAGAGAACCTGTGTAATACCAAGAACATTGACAACCTACGTCTTTTCTGAAAAAAACTCAATTGAAAATTAAATGAAGTACTTGAAAATCATTACGATAATTGAAAATTTCCCACTACAATAAACTAACACGTACCAATACAACGACAAACATTATAAACACAATTTTTCCAATACACAACAATTTCACAAAATTTCAAAGGAAACAGAACATCACTAATAAAAATAAGACAATTCTGTTATTACAATACTATTTGAAGTCGAGTTTAGATGCATCAATAAGCAAAATAGCAGTTTATTGTTAATCTGTTCATAATAATTCATATAATTCAGCACTATTTAGAGTAGTATTATAAAAATAGCCACCAGCAACTAATACTTTTCCATTTGGTAATACGAATGCAGTGTGTTCATATCGTCCATAAGTCATGTTACCGGTAAGTGTCCATGTTCCTGTTGATGGATCATATAACTCAGCACGATTTAGAAGGCCACGAGAATTATCACCACCAGCAACTAAAACTTTTTCACTTGGTAATACAGATGCTGTGTGGTAAGCTGATCCACCACCACTCATGTAATCAAGTTTCCAAGTTCCTGTTGATGGATCATATAACTCACGTCAGTATAATATACCCATAGATATTCATCATTATATCCACCAACAATTAACACTTTTCCATTTGTTAATACAGATGCAGTAGATTCATATCGTCCAAAAGTCATGTTACCGGTAAGTATCCAAGTTCCTGTCAATAGATCATATAACTCAGCAGTTTTTGATAAGATCCACCAGCAACTAACACTTTTCCGTTTGGTAATACCGATGCTCTGGGATCCCATCGTTCAGTAGTCATGTCACCCGTAGTTGTCCAAGTTCCTGTTGCGGGATCATACAATTCAGCAGTATTCAGAGCACGATCTTCATTACCCTGCCCACCAGTAACTAAAACTTTTCCATTTGTTAATACGGATGCTGTATGGAATGTTCGACTACTATTCATGTTACCAGTAAATGACCAATTTTCTGTTGATGGATCGTACAGCTCAGCAGTATTTAGACCGGATAGCATAAATTTCGCCGTACTGACTTTCGCACTTGACTTTCGGCAATTGCCAAAAGTTGTATTTTTGTAAAATTTTTGCCTAAGACAGGAAGAAACTTTGGCAATAGCCGATAGTTCAGTTTTGTCAATGCCAAAGTCCAATAAAAACACAAATTTTGGCAATTGTCAGACTCCTCAATAAATATATTACTCAAGCTATGAATCATAGAAAAGCAACTATAATTGTGATAGCTAATTTACTTCATGAACTGTGAGCCATAAATGGATCCCAATTCCATAGAGGAATACCTAGTATTTCAACATTCTCTTACGTACTTGAAGAATCATCAATTCAAATTGTAAATGCTACTAGACGGTATCATCACTCGGGAGGTCCATTAATATTGTTCGGGGACCTATGGTAAGTTGATATAATACACTTAATTAGTCGATTCATATACTTATTAAAGAGTCTTACAATTGCCAAAAGTTATGTTTTTATTGGACTTTGACATTGACAAAACTGAACTATCGGCTATTGCCAAAGTTCCTTCCTGTTTTCGGCGAAAATTTTACAAAAACACAACTTTTGGCAATTGCCGAAAGTCAAGAGCGAAAGTCAGTACGGAGAAATTCGTGTTTCCCTTTAGACCAGTAGTTCCATTCCATCCACCAGTAACTAACACTTTTCCATTTGTTAAGACAGATGCTGTGTGCAACTGTCGTGCATTATTCATATTACCAGTAACAGACCATCCTAGCAGAAATATTTGCATATATTCAAGCTAAAACTCGACATCTCATTGAAAATTGAAGATGATCTGTTGATCGACGGAGTGTTTTTAGATATTATAAAATCAAAACTATTGGATTGTTTTAGTACAAGTTTTTCCAGCAATATGTAGACTGAGAAGAAGTTTTAACTTCGTTACACGAAACTTTATGTTCACTACTAATCTCATGAGCGGGTGATAGATAGAAAGGTTTGTATTCTGAGTCTATCACTGTAATAATCGCATGAATTAGTGTATAAAAATAGGAATCCTTCTTCAGTTTTCTATTTTGTAAAATCTAAATAGCAAATTATCCATGAAATTTTCTCAACAATATTTCCATCAACAAAGTGCTGCACAAGAAGACATATACGATTGTGAAAAGTATCATGGAAAATGCACTGCTTCTTCCATTGCGAAGCAAAAAGCTGTGAAAGGATTGATAATCAAAATATACGAGTTGCTCTTTCTCAATTCTTCTACGTTTTTGTTAATAGTCTTTTATAAGAATTGAGTACCACAGAAAACAAATGCACAAGCAGTTAATCAAATAAAGAGCAAGATTAGTTCATGTATCAATCTGATGATAGATGATCTAAGCATGATAAACGACTCTATAACGCCATCAATGTAGTCGGCATAGACAACAGAATTTTTGATTATCAAGTATTAATGTTCACTTATTTCTCAAACTGACTTCGAACTACACATATTCTGTTCTATATTTCACCCTCATCCTCACCCTGATTTGAAATTAGCATTTAGCTAGATTAAGAAGTGTTAAGACTCCCCCCCCCCACTCAAAAAATCGATCTCAGCCCAGGTCCATTCAAAAGGGCTGAAATTTGGAGCATATGTTGAGGCTGATGTGAGGAGGCTGTGGTAAAATTTTCAGCGCGATACCCTGATGTTTGACAGAGATATGAACTAAACAAGGGTCAAAAATAGCTCATTTTCGTTCCAAGATTTCTCGGTTCGAGCTTGGTCAATATATTTAAATTTTTTTTGTTTGAAAGAGCATCTCAGGATGCAGGACACTATAGAGTTCTTTTTTTTAAATTCATACTTTTTTTAGCGGAAAAAGGGGATCACAAGTTCAATAACTCAAAAAACGCACCAACAATTGATGTCTGTGTTGGTATACATAGTAAAAAAACAAAGCTTAATTAAAAAAAGGACTCTGTATTGCCCTGCATCTCGACGCGCTCTTTCAAACAAACAAAAATTTTAATATATTGAACGACATTGAACCGAGAAATCTTGGAACGAAAATCAAAAAATCATAAACCGAGAAAAAACGAAAAACATTTTTCGTTTTTTAAAAATATGCATATTTTTCAAGAAGAGGTCAATGAAAATCATCGAAAATCTTGGCCAAAAAAGAGATGCCAAAGAAAAACCAATGTCGTTTTCGAAAGATCTGAAGACGGGCTATCTTCCCATGCATTTATCTCAATTTCGAAACCTCTGACGAAAATTGACTTTTTTCGAGGGGGTGGGGTGGCCTTAAAGATTAGCTGAGATACTGTCATTTGAAAGAAACACGCATTGTTTGTGAAAGTCTTATTTTGGCAGAAAATACTTTCTGCCAAGATTTTAGCCCCCGCCCCCCCCCCCCCCCTCCCGCTCCCTCGGGGGCCCGCCCTCCGCCCC